GCTTTAATTGCCCTGGCTCAGTGCTAGGGAATCCTGGGAATTGTAGTTTATAGTGTCTCCAAGTTCTGTCAGAAAAGGCTCAATGTCTCCCAAAACTCCATGCCGCCATTTTGTTTCTCAACTGATATTGCCCTCGGTCTGAAACACACTGCTGAAATAATCCAGTTCCCAGGATTCCCTAGCATCGAGCCAGAGCAGCTAAAGCGGTCTCAAACTGGATTATTTTTGCAGTGTGTTTTGGACCAACGAGGATGATATCAGTTGAGAAACAAAATGGCGGCATGAAATTTGAGGTGTTTTTACAATTAAAGAGTTGAAAGACTGAAATTTGTTGCGTAAGGTTACTTCTGATCTATTAGTGAGACAATTGTGGTGAAATATAGTTCCCCCTCCACGGTCCAAAACACACTGCAGAAATAACCCTGATTGAGACTGCTTGAATTGCCCCGGCTCAATGGTAGGGAATTTAGGGAACTGGAGTTTTGGAAGACATTTAGGCTGTCTCCACACTGGAGAAATAACCTGGTTTGGCACTGCTTTAACTCTTCCTGAATTCTGGGAATTGGAGTTTCTTGTGGGGCCCAGAGTGGAGCAGAGCAAAGCCCCGCTTTGGGCCCAAGAACAAACTCCAATTCCCAGAATTCCATAGCCTTGAGCCCGGAAGAGTTACGGCAGTGCCAAACTGGGCTATTTCACCAGTGTGGATGCAGCCTTAGCCTTCTCTGTCAGAGAGAGCTCTGGAGCCACAACAAACTACAATTCCCAGGATTCCCTAGCACTGAGCCAGTGCAGCTAAAGGGTTCTGCGACTGGATTATTTCTGCAGTGTATTTTGGATCTAATTTTTCTGTCTGAGTTCTGTCACTGAAGAATAGCAGTTATCTCCATAGGTTCACGTAATAAAACTGCTTCTGGCTTTACTGGCCTCTATCTACCACTGGCCTTACTTCGAATGAACCTCTAGTGAAGGCCCAGTCCCACTTTGAAACTCAGGAGCCAATCAGGAGCCGGCACATGGCTTTTCCCGCCCCCGTCTGAGAAAAGGGGCGTGACTTCCACGCAGCCTTGGCCCGGAGAAGCCCAACGGCCCACTCCCCATCTTGCCCATGCGCATTGCGCGCTCACCGTGCCTACCTGGACGGCGTATTACATCACCTTCCCGTGTTCGACGTGCCGCGTCATCAATTTGGGCGCTTCCGGGGGAGTGGCTGCGTTACTCTCTTGAGGCATAAAAAAGGCGGAAGGAGCAGCATTTTTGAGGTTCACTAGGACTACAACTCCCAGCATACCCCAGTCCGAGAAAGGCGGGACTTGAGTCGCGCCTCTCCCCGCCCTTCTCTTCTTCTTACGTGTGTCCCTAATTTCCCAACCATCTCCATCTTGATTGGTCTCTTCATTTCTCTTTCCCCCAAGGCCCCGCCTCCTCAATCCAGAATTGGATCCCGATTGGATAACCAAGGAGGAGGCAGTGGGAGGAGCTAGAAGAAGCGTCCCAACTTCCCTTTTCCCTATTCTTTTCTCCACTCAGGCGAGTCTCCGGCGCGCACGCGCAGAAGGGAGCCTAACTCCGGGCACGCATGCGCCTGATCCTTTTTATAGAGCTCGCGCGCGAGTGCACTGAAACGCCATTCGTCCTCCTTCCCTTTAACCCCCTCTTCTTCTCTCTAGCGCGCGTGCGCGGCACTCGGTACGGACGTTAGGCCGCCCGCTGATTGGCTGGTTTCGTTAAAGCGCCCCTGGGCTCGCGACGGCGACGGTTGTGGCCTAGCGTTCTGCGCAGGCGCAGTAGCCGTGAGGCGCTCGTTCTGAAGGGGGCTCCGCTGTCAACGTCGCCGCTGCTTCTGCTTCTGTGAGGAAACCGCGGAGAAGAGCTCGACGGGCGGCTGCCGACCCTTCACTCGACACCACCGCCGCCAACGCTGCCGCCATCATGAGCGTGGAGGCGTACGGGCCCAGCTCCCAGACGCTGACTTTTCTGGACACGGAGGAGGCCGAGCTGCTGGGCGCCGACACGCAGGGCTCCGAGTTCGAGTTCACCGACTTCACCTTGCCCAGCCAGACCCAGACGCCGCCCGGGGGAAGTTCCGGCAGCGCAGCGGGAGGAGGAGCGGGAAGCGGGCCTTCAGCCGCCGCCGCTGCGCAAGGGAGCCCCGTGGGCCCCGGAGGGATCGGAGCCGGGCCGCCCTCCGTCGGCGTCTCCGGGCAGCTCGAGGCCCAGGTGAGGAGGAGGAGAAGGGTCCCAAACACACTGCAGAAGGAATCCGGTTTGAGACTGCTTTAACTGCCCGGGCTCAGTGCTAGGGAGCTCTGGGAACTGTAGTTTGTTCTGGCTCCAGACCTCTCTCTCTCTCTGACAGAAGGCAAAATGTCTCTCACAAAACTACAGTTCCCAGGATTCCCTAGCACGGAGCCAGGGCAGTAAAGTGGGGTCAGACCGGGGGTCGAAAACACACGGAGGAAACAACCCGGTTTGAGACCGCTTTGCTTGCCCCTGGCTCAGCGCGAGGGAATTCTGGGAACGGTAGTGTTTGCGAAACATTGGGCCTTCTCTGTCAGGGAGAGCTCCGGGGCTGCAAGGAACGACAGTTCCCAGGATTCCGTAGGATGAAGCCATGATGGATAAAGTACTGTGAGGTTGCATTAATTGTGCAGTCTGGCAGTAGCCCAACTAGACACTCTCTTAATCTTCTGGTTTCCTCACGAGGCACTACAAATAAAACATACGATAAACTGGTAGCACCACCGATGTGTGTGTGTGGGGGGGGGAGGAGAATGTCCAAAACATACTGCAGAAATAATCCACTTTGAGACCGTTTTAACTGCCCTGACTCAGGGCCAGGGAATCCTGGGAACTGTAGTTTGTTGTGGCCCCAGAGCGCTCTGACAGAGAAGGCTCAATGTCTCCCAAAACTGCTGTTCCCAGGATTCCTAGCATTGAGCCAGGGCAGTTTAAAGTGGTCTCAAACTGCGTTATTCCTGCAGTGTGCTTTGGACCTAGGTAAAGTACATGTCTCTTTGAAATTCTATATTTAAGTCTTTTTTTTTTTTTTTTTTTTTTGGTGAGACATTTAGGTTTCTCTGTCATAGTTCTGGTGCCACAAGAAACTACGAGTGCCAGGATTCCCTAGCACTGAGCCATGACAGTAAAAGTGGTGTCAAAGTGGCTTAATTTTTTTTACATTGATTTTGGTACTGAAACAATTAAAATATAACAAAACAGTCCACAGTTGGATACCACTTCAACTGCCATGGCTCCATCCTATGGAATTCTGGGATTTGTATTTTGGAAGATATTTAGCCTTTATGTCAGAGTTCTGGAGCCACAATAAACTACAGTTCCCAGGATTCCCTCGCACTGAGCCAGGGCAGTAAAAGCTGTCTTAAACTGGATTATTTCTGCAGTGTGTTTTGGATGTAAACCTGGATTTCTCCTTTGATCACATAGGTCTAAAACAACTGCAAAAATAATCCACTTTGAGACTGCTTTAATTGCCCTAGCTCAGTGCTAGGGAATGCTGGGAACTGTAGTTTCTGAGACATTTAACCGTCTCTTCTTTTACTATTGTAATAATTCTATTTTAATGTAATATTTTTGTATGTTTTTAATTGTATTGTTTTTTTAATCTTGTGAGCCACCCTGAGTCCCAATTTTGGGGAAAGGATATGATATAAATAAATATAATAATCATCATTCTCTGTCAGAGAGCTCTGGTGCCACAGTAAACTGCAACTCCCAGGATTCCCTAGCACTGAGGCAGGGCAGTCTCAAACTGGATTATTAAAGCAATCTCAAACTGGATTATTTCTGCAATGTGTTTTGGACTGAAGATGATGACATTGTTGGGGTGTGTTAAACTTGGGGAGGGAATGAATGGCCCCACTTTGAGCCGCAGTTAGAAGAGAACAGAGGAGGAAGAGACTGGATACAAGTGTAATTGTGGACATGGATACAAATATAAATATGTGTATTTATATGCTTTAAAAGTTTTTAGGTAGGTCTATTGAAGTGATTAACAAACAAACAAAAATTTGGGGAGACAGATCCAAAACACACTGCAGAAATAATCCATTTTTTTCTTCCATCCCCCCCCACTTCTTTGTGCAGAAAATCCATTGCAGGGAGAAAAAAGGAAGAGTTCCATGATTCATTTGGATCAGTCAAAATTGGCCCAAAACACACAGCAGAAATAATCCAGTTTGAGACTGGCTTAACAGCCCTTGCTCAGTGCTAGGGAATCCTGGGAATTGTAGTTTGTGGTGGTGCCAGAGCTCTTGGACAGAGAAGGCTAAATGTCTCCCAAAACTACAGTTCCTAGGATTCCCTAGTATTGGGTCAGGGCGGTTAAAGCAGTCTCAAACTTATTTCTGCCATGTCTTTTGGACCATAGAGGGGAACTGGATTTTACCACAATCGTACCATGACTATTTGGTTTGGTAAATGTTCATTTTTAGTGTTTGACTGCATCCTTCTGGGATCCAGGTCAAATGTGGGAGAAGTGCTGTTGGTTTGCTTTTTTAAATAACCTATAAATGTTATGTATACAAACTGCAAAATCAGGCATGCTGATAATCTAATATACAGTACACACATATGCAGACTCATCTGTATTTATGCACAGGTGTGTGTTAGTGTAGATAGGGTAGATATGTGTGTTTGTGTGTGAGAGAGATAAGCAAAACAGCAGTTTTCCCAAGTTTGTGCTGGGTTCCAGAGGGACGCAGTTAAGGAACATAACTAAAACTAAATATTTAGCATGAGTAAAACATTTTGGTTTATATAATTAAAGATGGAACGGAGCTGCATACAAGGTGGCAGTTTGGAATATATAATTATCTATGTGTACACATATACTCACCATGTACTTGTATAAACACATATGCATGTACATATGCCCATACACGTAATGTGCCTTTAAGTCATTTCTGACTTATAGTGGACCCTATCATGAGGTTTTCTGGGGCTGAACGCCTGTGACTTGCCCAGTGTCACCCAGTGAGTTTCATGACCAAGCAGGGAATTGAACCCTGGTTTCCAGAATTGTACTCCAATGTTCAAACCACTACACCATGCTCACACACTTAATACACTCGTCCCTCCACATTTGCGGCTTTGACATTTACGGATTTGCTTATTCATGGATTTTTATTAATATGTTCTCGCTAGGAATATCTAGGTCCTCTAGTGCAACTCTGTGGTCAAGTTTAACCAAAAGTTGCACTGAAGGGCCGAGAGGTTCCTAGAGAGAACACTCCACTAGGCATTTGTAGCTCCTCCAGCGCAATTCTGTGGTCGGTGTCTGGCAGATGTTGATCACAGACTTGTACTGGAGGACCTAGAGATTCCTAGAGAGGTTTCTTTCTGGCAAAAATATAATGTTTTTGTTATTTGTGTTTTTTCCATATTCACGGGGGTCCTGTGCCCCTAACCCCAGTGAAGGTGGAGGGACGTCTGTATATGCTTACTTTCATTATATGTTTGTATGCATGTCTACACTATTTCCGTGTGTGTGTGTGTGTGTGTGTACAGAAAAACAGCCAGACAAACACTTAATATTTATGTGGAGGTGTGTGTGTGCGTGTGTGTGTGTGTGGATATGCAGATTAATATATATATGTGTGCTACTGGGATTCCCAAACCATTTTTGAGACTAACTAGGGAGATGTATCTAATGAGTCAGACTTCACTTGGAATCCTGTATCCAGTTCTGGGAAGTACAGTTGGCCCTCCACGTTTGCGGCTTTGACTTGCGGATTTCATCATTTGCAGTTTTGATTAATATGTTCTCTCTAGGAATCTCTAGGTTCTCCAGTGCAAATCTGTCAGAGGATAGTCATAGAGTTGTGCTGGAGAACCTAGACAATCCAAAAGAAAATATTTTTGTAGACATTTGTAGGCCCTCCAGCATGATTCTGTGATCAACTTCTTGCAGATGATGACCACAGAGTTGCACTGGAGGACCTGGAGGTTCCTAGAGAAGTGTTAAAAACAATAGTGTGTATTCTGTAAAAAGAAACCACAAATAGTTTTATTTGTGGTTTCTCCACATTCATGGGGGCCCTTCGCCCCTAACCCCATCGAATGTGGAGGGACCACTATACAGTTGAAAAAAGTTGTGGATAAGCTGGAAGGTGGTCAGAGGATGACCCAGATGGACAGAGATCAGAAATCAAAGCCTTATGAGGACTGACTGAGGGATGATTAGTTTGGAGACGAAAAAGCTGAGAGGTGACATGATAGCCACCTTTAAATACCTGAAGGGATACTATGTAAAAGATGGTCTGAACTTGTTTTCTGCTTTTCCAGTAGATTCAAATTACAAGAAGAGAGATTCCACACAAACATTAGGAAGAATTTCTTGATTATGGCAGCATCCTCACTGTAGAGATAGTTGGGTTTGACACCACTTTAACTGCCATGGCTCAATGCTATGGGATTCTGGAAATTGTGGTTTATTATTATAGCTTTGCTCTGGTGCTGGTTAAAGTGGTGTCAAACCAGAATATTTGTGCAATGTGGATGCAACCTCTAAGAGCTGTTCAACATTGGAATAGATTACCTGGGGGGTTGCTTTCATTCGTTGGTGGTCTTTAAACAAAGGTTGGAGGGTCATCTTTTAGGAGGGGTTTAGTTGTCAGGGGTTGGACTAGGTAGCCTTTTTTCCAGCTCTGTAATTCTGTGAACTGCAGTTCATGAAAGTTTTTAATATTGTGAGGAGTTTAATTCTATTTTAATGTTCACTTTTTGTATGTTATTAACTGTATTGCTCTTTTAAACAATAAGCTGCTTTGAGTGTCAATTCTGAGGAATATGGGACACAAATAACAACAATAACAACAACAGCACTTATAGTAGAAATGTCTTTCTCCCAGGCATTTTCAAAGAATTCATTTATGGTCCAAAACACACTGCAGAAATAATCTAGTCTGAGACCACTTTAACCCCTGGCTCAGTGCTAGGGAATCCTGGGAACTGTGATTTTGTGAGACATTTAGCCTTCTCTGTCAGAGAGCTCTGGTGCCAAGGCAAACTACAAATTCCAGAATTCCCTAGCACTGAGTCAGGGCAGTTAAAGCAGTCTTAAACTGGATTATTTCTGCAGTGTGTTTTAGACTGATATCTTGTTTATGCTAAAACAGAATGATACAGCTATTCTTTTGGATGTATTTTCAAAGAAATAGCTATATTGTATATATTCTTTACTCTCTCTATATATATCCACACCCATACAAATCTGGCTGAGAGAAAGACTTTTTGTATTTTTTGAAAAAGGCTATTTACCTCATGGAGGAATCAATGAAAGAAATACTGTGCTGGGTGTCTGTATATCCATGATTATATAGATCTGTGTTCTTACAGCATTATACATGCTTACATATGCCTTGTATTTAATCTTTTGGGCTAAGAACAGTAGCCTGCGTCTCTAGATTGGATACAAAAAAAGAATACTGAGGTCTGCATATACCCTTTTACTTTTTATTTATATAGCAATAGCAAGTACATTTCTATACTGCTTATCTGTGAACTAACACTCCCTAAGCAGTTTACAATGTGTAAAGTTTTATTATTGTTTTAATATAGTAGTTAGTTATTTCAATACTGTAGTAGTGTTGGATCCAGACATAGTTAATTTTAAGAGTAAAATGGTTAAAATGTATGGAGTGAAACAGTCATAACTAATTTGCATCTGACAAATTGTAGTCCTTAAAACCGCATACTGTAATAAGTACATTAGTTTTAAAGTGCCACAAAAGTCTTAAGATTACCCTCACTACACCTCTGGTTTTGGTTAACTCTGTGGATTTGCTAAAACTGATTAAGTCTTAGATACGTGTATGTCCAGGAAATTTAATAATGTGTTTGTATCTTGCTGTTGTATTCCTTCAAGTCATTTCCAGATTATGGCACTAAGGCGAACCTATTGCAGAGTTAGATCTATATGCCTTATTTGTGTGTATTTAGACTGTATTTGCACTATGCAGGTAAACGCATGGATTTGAATATATCTTTTGTTGGGATGAGACAAAAGGGACATGGAGGCAGTGTATGTGTACGTTTATGTTTGTGAGAGTGTGTAACCTTTCATGGTTGAAAGCATTGTTTTTGGAACAGAGTGGAAAGTGCTGTGACAAACTGTTGCCTGAACCATATGATATACTGGTGGATATGATGACTTTTCATTGGAACATTAGCATAGCTTACTTAGGTCCAAAACACACTTGGGACTCCCCTTTATATCTACATGTGGTTGTCGCACCCCCACACTCGGCATAGTAGATGGATAAAAATGTATTTTTTTATTTATCAGGCATATTTTCATTTGCACTTTCATGTTTTAACATTTTGTAAGGAAATAACATTGTTTAAATTAGAACAGTTTTATATAAGTAAATTCAATGCATGAGTGTAAATTTTATACATTAAAAGTTTGGGGGGAGGAGGAAGAGGGATCAGGGCCTCTTTGAGCAACACTCATGCATCCTGCCATTTGAGAACCACTGCACTAGACCTCAAACCTTTACTAGCCATCCTTTTCTGTACTTAATTTTTTAAGCTGCAGCTCACCTTGACCTCATTGAAGGAGAGGCAGGACAAAGAAGTAACTTTAAAAGTATGTAAAGTATGTAAATAAATTCATTATACATTGATTTAAATTGTACCGAATTCTGGGGTGCTTTGAATTCTGAGGTGGAATGCTTAGCTCTGAAACAGATCAACTGTCCTATCCTGTCTCAAGGCATTTGAAGGCACAAGTTGTTAAGATGAATTGATCTTTACTAAAGCAGAAAATAATTGTGTAAAAGAGCATTTTCTACATGTGAAATCTGAGGAGAGAAACACATTTTCGGTGCCTGTAACATAAGCTTTTGTAGTCGAAGCAGAGAGGAGGCAAAGGAATATAGGCAAGAGATGTGTTTGATACATAAAAAGACTTCTTGGTGTAAGGGAGGACTCATCTTTCCTCATCTAAGGCCAGGGTTTCCTACCAAATTAGGTAAGGGACATGAAGAGTTGTTAAATGGTTAGAACAGCATAAACAATATAGTTAAAATTCTGAATGCCTAGGTGTGATAGAACCTCAAGGGGAGGGCATGGCTTTTCCATGAATAATGAATACATCTTCCCCAAACAAGTGTTCAGACTGTTAAAAGGAGTCAGCCAGGTTTTCCAGCCCTGGGGCACTCTGGGAATTGTGTTAGATAAGTAGTGAGAGGCAGATCCTGAAGCCTGCTATTCTTGTTTACTACTTCATAAATGCATCTTTAAGAGGACAATGCCTGTGTACAGGTGTGAGTTTTCACAAGTATACCATGATGACTTTGTCATTTCCCCCTAGTGTATTATGGAAGCACACCACAGCCTTGCAAATTTTGTTTTTCTCTTTCTGGACCATTTAGATCAGGGGTAGGCAACCTTTCCCCTTTAAGGGCCGAGGGACTTCAGCTCCCAGAAGCTTCAGCCATGTTGGCCAGTAGTCCCATGTTGGCCAATAGCTCCTGGGATTCTAGGAGCTAAAGTCCCTCGGCCCTTAAAGGGGAAAGGTTGCCTACCCCTGATTTAGATTGTGGAAGTGTTTCATACTCCTGTGCTTATCTTTCTCGACAGGTGGTTGTCACTGTTACAAAACACTCTGGTATGAGCAGTGACATAACTTGAAAGAGAAACGTAAGCAGCAGTTGTGATATACAGGACAGGCCCCAAACTAGATAATTCAGTGTCCAGTCACTCTAATAAACTATCTATTTCATATATCAAAAGAGCATTTGTGTGTGTATGGTCATAACAAATCAGTTGTCTATTTGTGGGAATCATACCTAGACCTCAATTGAAACCTGTGCTCTGTGGAAAACCTGTGGTGACAGTCAAGAGCTTCTCATTCTGTCGGTAAAAACAAGCCAGTGTGGTGTAGTGATTGACTATGATTCTGGAGATCAGGGTTCAATTCCCTGTTTGGCCATGGAAGCAAGTACATATACTCAGCCCCAGAAAACCCCATGGTAGGTTCACTTTAGGATTTCCATAAGTTGGAGCTGACTTGAAAGCACACAGCAACAACAGATGGAAAAACACTCTTAT